CACCCACCCGCACCCTCCCGCACCCACCCGCACCCTCCCGCACCCACCCGCACCCTCCCGCACGCCTCTCCCGCACCCCTCTCCCACCCCGCACCCCTCCCCCTTCACCCGTATCTATAATTTGTCCCGATCATCCTGCCCTACATTTTAAACCCGGCGGCATTTTTATCCGATACAACTCGCAGCTAAGCCAGCGGCAGGAATAACATAGTTCAGCGTGTGCTGTGAATATTGATTGGTCGGTTTGTCGGAAACAGTCGCATAAATGTTTAGTGTCGCCAGCGAAACGACGTCATCGCTAAACAACGCCGCTTGCCCGCCAGGTGGCGGCCTCTGATACGCGACACTATTTTATGACGTAATCGGTTTAGTTATCATGATTGATGACGTAATCAAGGTTTATTCGCCCCTCGTGTTGCTGTTAGCTGGCGTGGGATAGAGGATGGAGCCTTCCTTATTTACCGTACGTTTGCGTACAGCCCTCCTGCTCCCATGCTCGTGCTGCGTGTGTAGAGATTATAGACCATACGTGTATTATAGCTGCATTATATAACCACATTATATATATATAGACATTATAAAACCCTTAGCATTGTTATAATCTACTACTATACTAATCACGGTGTGAGTACTGACTGTATGTCTGTCACTCTCACTCCATGATATTCATGATATAAATAAAGAGACGTATGTAATGTATAATACTCGTTATATGTTCGACAGTATGTTGTAGTGTTGATTGATGAATTAATTGATTGATGAATTAATTGATTGACTGATAGATCATGATTACAATGATGGATATAAGGAGCATTAATGACGAGGTTTAGCGATGAGTTTGTATCTGTACACTATTACAGGGTTGATTGTTGGTTAAAACCTGCTGCAGCTGTACGTATGTATAGGACCAAGAGTAGATAATAACACACTGTATGTTACATGTGTGTCACATGTAACATATGACACATATCACATGTCACATAATAACATACATGTGTTATTATCTACTCTTGATAGGCCACCCACCCAGCGGCTCCTTGCTCGCTGCAGCGCGCTCTGGCGGGCGTTGACACACGTCTGGTGTATTGACATCTATACAGTGTTTCCACGGTGTTATATTTGGTTATATATTATATATTATATATTATATATATGGTTTAACAGCTCACTCTACAGTTTTACAGCTTGGAGTCGTTGCCTCGTGTTACTGCTGCCTAACTATGTAACAGCTAAACTAGTTTATGGTCTATATGCAGTACTATTGTCTTGATAGGTCATACACCGAATAAAGTAAGGAAAGAAAGTTGTACTGACTGTGTAAGTGACTGTTTTATGTCTGTACGTTACGGCTTTACAGATGTGTGTATAGACTATAGAGTAAAAGCTTATCAGCAATGCCATTTCATATTTCGACCATCCCCCCACACCCATTTCCGTCTCTCCCTGTTTCATGCACATCCCTCCCCGTCCCCCGTCATCCCTCCCCGTCCCCCGTTTCCATCTACGGTCACAAATTGTGATTCATTTTGGTTTATAAATTATTATTGCGATATACAGATGGCAATCGTTTCTATAATGTACGTCGATGGTTGCTCAATTAAAACGACTTCTTCTTACTCACTCATTTGTGTCCTTTTTTGTGGTGAGCTACAGTGTCATTGACACTTTTATTTTCATACAAAATCAAAAAAGAGCTCTCGTAAAAGTAATTTTTAGGCCACTAAAATATTTCATTTTGTTACTAAAAATGATTTTTTAATTGTCATGATTTAGTCAATTAGTATTCAGAATCTCTGCAAATCATTTATGGATTTTTGTCACTTTGTTACAGGGGAAGATGATCCGGGAGCTACAATATCTATTCAGACGAGCCAAGACGGCAACTTGGACTTCCTTATTGTTATGACGTCATCCATGAAGGAAAACTTCACCCTTTTTCCGGAAGTCCTCATGATGGATGGCACGTATAGTACGAACAAGCTGCGCATGCCGCTATACACGCT